CCCCCCCCCCAACCACCAGAATCAGAGCAAAGCAGTCAGTTAGCAGTGCTGTTCAAAACAGATCAAAGCCAGACTTGGCAAATATATAGATCCGTATCTGAATTGGTGCATGTTAATGGCCCCCAAAAGGACATTACAAAAACGTGAATGTAGAGTTATGACCCTGGAAAGACACAACAAATTAATAAATTATTCAAAGCTAAAAAAAAAAAATAAAATCTGTCACAACTGCATTTTTGAAGTTTAAGTCTTTCCCTATCAAGAACTGACTTTACAAGGATTTCTGAACACCTTCATCTACAATACTATGGCCTCGAGCAAAAATACAAATAAAACAAGCCATAATTCAGGAACTTCTGAGGAGGAGAACCTTTGACCTGAGCTGCGGACTTGGCATCCCTCAGACACACAATTATCTGAGCCAGGCTGCTCCACTAATCCATACTGTACCTTTAATGCAATGATATTTTGAAACATCTAAAGCACCAGGTTGCAACATATATATCTATCAAAAGCTGGGGCCTGTTCTTGTTTGCAATACATATCAAAAACACAGGCCTGTTCATATGTTGATTGCCACAAATCACATTCCATATTTACATATATCTTGCTATTTTACATGCATTATCTGCCCATTATGCATTAGGATCCTATTCAACTTCCAAACAATACAATATGAAAGGGTCTTACTGACACCCTGGCAGGGCTTTTTTCTTTATGTCCCATATGTCATACCCTTAAGGTTAGTAAAATATTTATCAGACATTTACGATAAGTGCACCTATAACTGCAGGTCACTGGACAATACGGATGGGGAACTTGCTCTCTAAAAGGGTGGCAGCCTGGTGTGTCTGTGTTTGAAAAATACATCTTGGGTTTTGCCTTAGACCTCCAAACACTCAGAATTTTCTCACGCCAATAATATCTATTGAGCTTTAATCATTTTAAATAGACTGGCATATGCCTTTACTTGGGTTTTATTCTGTATCCTTAAAGGTGGCAGTGAGAAAGCTTAACTCTACCCTCAGAATGAGATTAAAAATAATAATCGTTAAGGGATCCACAGTTCGACTCGATTATGCAGCCCAGAAAGGTGCAATCCATGGGAGAAATAATGCAATCCATGTTTACTGGAGGTGAATTATTATTGCATCCCAGAAAGTGGGCTAATGTGAAAATCCTGTGTGTGCCTTGATTTTTTATGTGGCAGTGTGTCAATAAGGAAAAGCTCTATATTTCTTCTTGTGGTCTGTGAAAAAGAAATTATGTAAATAAATAACCATTACTGTTCAACACTCCAGCCTTTCCCTTCGTAGTGGCGGGTATGTATTTCATGTTACACATTCAGAAGAGTTTGGTGTTCAGAAAATATAGATGTAATCAGCTGCCATCTAACTAGAAATCAAAGTTCTTATTGCGCTGTGAATAGATTTATTGAATTTATGTTATCTGTCTCTGTCTCTTCCTGGAAACGTTTATTTATGATGAGGAAAAGGTAGATACAGGAATTAATAACACTAAAGTTTGCCAGAGGGAGTGTGGAGCGATGGGGGTGAGGTATAGAGGATTGGAGGAGGAGGAGAGGGGAAGCAAAAGGAAAGGAGGTGAGAAGGGAGCAGGTTTTGGGTTAGGACCCAGTCTTTGGATGGTGTCCAGAATTTTACAGAATAAATACATGCTCTCTGGAGCCCGAATGTAAAAAGAACAACAGGAGAAACCCATGCCAGCTTTAAACACTTAGTCCTCAGCAAAGGATTTTGGACAATATGCCTAAAAATGTCTTTTCCATCAGTCAAAGTTAGTTTAGAAGTTGGATGAGTTTGAGAAAGGCTTCCCATGAATTCCCCTCTGGATAAGCAATCAAAACAAGTTTAGTGAGAAGCTGAAATGTGCGGATGGGGGTAAGCAGTAGATTACTCCTGACAGCTGTATTTCCTTTTTCTGAGATGCCTCTTGTGATCCTCCTCCAAAATAATATTATTGTTCTCTTCCTGAACCCCATTCACTCTCAGTTCCATTGTGGGAAGGGACTTCTTCCCTCACAAATGTCATTACATTTTTTTTTATATGTGTAAATGAAAGCATCCTCTAAAATCACTTACTCTGTTTCTAGCCGACCCTGATCGTTTAGGCAGGTTAAGGGGTGAGATTGGAGGGAGCAGCGAGAGAAGAGAAAGAGAGGAAAAAAATAAAATATTCCCTCAAACGTGTCCCCATCAGGGACAACCTCCTTCTAAGGGCCTTTGGCTGGTGGAAAGGCTGAGGCACAGGCCAGCCATCTTCTGAGGTCTGCTTGGGAAGAATATCTCAAAGTTAGATCTGGGAAAAAAAAAAAAAAAAAAAAGGTTCTCCTCGACTGTCCCTGTGTATTGATGAGCACCCTGAAATGAATGGGAAGGGAAAGTCTGTGAGTCTGCAGGCATGCTGTGGAGCTAAATCAGCCTGATAAATGCTGGCAGGTCTCTTTGTCACTCTTCAAAAACATGTTTCCATCAAGAAGACTTATTATGATAAAATACATTAAAATGTCTATCTGGCTATTCAGTAAATCTTCCATTTGTTCTAAGATTTGCAAGTTATCCTTTGCAAAGAAATATTCCCTCCAACACTGAGAGACTGCATTTGCACTGGAAGTAAAAGGGGGCAGTCACAGTACATGTCTCTGACCACCCTGCATACAAATTAGATACTCCTGTCTAAATAAATTATCTGATGTTCAAATCGATATTAATACTACATTTGCTACATTACAATATTGTGCAAATTTAGGAGTCATTTTAATACTATGTAAATACTATCTTTCATGCATGAAAGGCAACAAATATTGATGGATTATAAACTACTCAGTGTTAAACAAGACCTTTGAACGATTTGCCATCTCTGTTCAGGAATGCTTTTAATTTTGCCTTGGCCTAGTTTAAAGTCACATTTATTGGAACTGTTTAGTTATTGCTAATGGAGAAGGCTGGTTTGGCAACGGGGAGAAAAGGGGACAAGAGAGGGGATAGGGAGAGTGGGTATAAAAAAGCAAAAGAAAAAAAGAAAGAAGAAAACAAGCAGAAAAAGTGGCAATTAGCCATATAGTGGCCATAATTAGAATAATAATTAAAAAATTACACTGCCCAGCCTCTTATCTCGCTTTGTTTTCATTTCCTATATTTCTTTCGCATAGTTCTCCTTTGATGTTTATAAATTCTCCCTCGCAGGTTACGATAATAGTATACATATTATATTTTTATAGTCTACGACCAGAGCACTTCAAAGGCGACACTAATGCAACTTTCCCGCTAGTTAATTCGAACCATCTATCACAGAGAAAAATTGTTAACATGCATGTTTCCACCGCCTACACTTGATTTGATTTGGGGTGTGTTTTGGTGTTTTTGTTTTTGTTTTTTTTTTTTTTTTTTTTTTTTTTTTTTTTTTTTTTTTTTTTTTTTTTTTTTTTTTTTTTTTTTTTTAGGGGCTGTGTGTTAAAAAGCCAGCATCAGTAGGGTGAGGGGGAGGACGATCCCTGGATCGGGGTATACCCCGTCAGGTGCTATGCTACCTCAGCCTGCAGCCTCTTTTCTTTAAAAATAATTCTATTTTCATTTTTTCCTAATTTTTCCGCAGATGGTTTGGGGGTTTTTAAAATTTTTTTTTTTTGATGTTTCACATCCCCCACCCGTCCCCTCACCTGAGGTGAAGAGGACGATGGCTTTCAGGCAGCTGTACTCAGCCGAATCGACGTGCAGTGCCTTCAGCTTCTCCACCTGTTCCTGGAAGATGCGGATGTGGTCCATGAAGGCGACAACGCGGTCGGCCGACATGGGGGAGGCGTGGAGGCCGGCGGCGGCCAGGAGCGGGGCCACATGGAGGGGCATGGAGCACTGGGCAGCGTTGAGGACGAAGAGCTCGCTCCAGGTGAGCCGCAGCAAGGCCACCTGGTCGGTGATCTGCAGGTCGGGGAAGAAGGGGATGTTGCGGGCCCACTCGACGGCGCTGAAGAGCAGACGGGCGGCCAGCTCGCAGATGTTCTCGATGCCCATGATGTTGTTGGGCTGCATGCACTGGCTGCCGTAGCGGGAAGTGGGGTAGGGCTCGGCCCGCAGCAGGAGGGAGATGTATCCCGAGAGATAGCAGTGCCCATTCAGGGGGTCGCCGTTGGTCAGGGCGTATTGGCCGGGGTTGGGTTGGGTGGGTGGCATCCTTCCTCGCTGAACCGCTGACAAAAAGAAGGAGAGAAGGAGAGGAAATGTACATCCAGGAGGCTCGCAGGCATCGCCCCGGCGGCGCAGTCAGCCAGCCGGAGACAATGCCGGGCTTCTTCCCCTCCCCGCCACCGCCTCGCCCCCGGCACACGCACAGGCACGGACAGACAGAGGCATGCGGAACCGGGCAGCTGCCGCCGACCTGCATTGCGCCCCCCGCCCGGCATCGGCCTCGGCCCCGGCCTCGGCCCCGGCCCCGGCCCCGACCCCTGCTCAGGCAACCCCAGCCCAGCGGCAGTCAAGCG